CGACTGGGACTCTCCAGACCTGGAAGCACCCAGCACGCAGACACGCCTCACCGCAGAACTCGATGGCGGCGCGCCATCCCATGCGTATCAGTGCACTGCCCAGGCGGCCTACTCGCCGAGCACGACCCCCCAGTGTCCTACACCATCCTAGACGACACGTTTGTTGCAGTCGAGATCCGCGCCATTCAAATCCCATCAGCCCCCGCTAGCACGCTACAACGGCGAGGGCGACGGTGCCTTCATATACGCCCGTCCGCTCCTCTGGGCCGCTGGCGGAGGTGAATGCGTTGCGTTGTTGATAACAGCCGCGCGCAGTGCCGCATCAGCAGACTCTGGCGACGACGACGACGACCACCACACAGACGCGCAGCGCCACGATCCCGACAGCGGACTTTCCCCCGTCTGCTTTCGAGGTGGGATCGTCCGCGACACGAAACGTGACCGATCGGGAGGGGGGAGGGGCCTGCGGCATCCACAGAAGACCACAAGTTCTCGAGCACGCCGTCAGTGCTGCATATGGCTGGCAGGGCAGGGGGGCTGGCGCAGGCAGCTGCAGCCTCTTGAGATCCGTCGGCGGTAGCGCGAAGCTACTGGCCAGCGACCCACGACCGCATGCGCGATAAGTAGGTACGTGCACGGCACGAGGGCCAACTGAGATAACTTGCACGGCTTCGCGTAGATGACCAGGAGATCGCACGCACGGCCAGAAATCGAGGGAGAAGCCGGCCGTCGGGTTCCGGCGCTACCGTCCACCCGGAGAGGACATCCACCGCCACGACCACGTCCGTACAAGGCGGCGCCGTATCCCATCGAGCAGACACGGACACACGCAGGAGAACGCGGACGTGAGCGCCGCGGGCGGCCGCACCTCGCACTCTGGCCTTGGTTTCCCGCGAGACGCTCCAGCGAAGGCGAGGTCACAAGCCCCGGTGGTCAATTGCAGTGGCAATATGTGATATCCAGGTGGGGCTTCCTGCGCGATCCAGTGGGCCCCCATTCAAATCGCGGCGTCGAACGCGAAGTGCGTCTCGCGAGTGTTCAATATTCAATGGGAAGGACTGGTGCCCCAGACCTGCCTCGGCTGCGCAGCCGTGCGCCTCTGTCTGGTTCTGGACGGTCACGATGCCTTCCCTGTCGCACTTGGCTGCATCCTTGCGAGCTCAGCCTCACGCGACCCGGGTCGTCTGCTGCACCTTGGAAGGCAGGGTTCGCCTCACACCTCCCTAGTCAGTTATGATGGTGCCCTTTTCGAAGCACACTGAGCCTGGCGTTCTGTGGCCTGCGTATATGGCAGGTCGCTCCCGGCGTGCACCGTCGGTCTGAATCCGTGGGCCGTGCTGGTCGGAGTAGCGGTCCGCGCGACCCGATGCGCCGTCCTGGATCGCGGGTCACTCATTATTGCCTGGCAGACCATCAGTAGTACTTGGCGATATGCCTCGTCGTAGACACGTCCTATCTCTCGGTTGCACTAATGTTTTCCCGGCTCGGACGTTCTCCTCGGACTGCAAACAGTAATGTCGACCTACGACAGCTTTCGCTCCCAACAAATGGCACGCTTGCAAATATCCTTACTGATAAGTATAGGCATCGCTATCATGTCGCACTCGCTTATGCATGATTCTCGTTTCACTCTCAGATCTTACAGTATACCCTGACGGCCAGTGGCTGGCCCGTAGCCCGAACATGAGTGCAGTCCCTCTTGGCGTAACAGATTCCCCTCCTCTCGTCCTGTCGTGATCAGTCCTCAGTTCATCTATGCGAGCCAAGTCGAATATTGGATAGCGCTGTGTGTGCGCGGTCTCGTTTGTCGTGGCATACTCCAACGATATTATCACGGCCGCGGTTACTACTCACACACCAGTCGGGTACGTAAGTCATCTCATTCATGAATCTCATCGTCCTCAATGCCGTTTCATCATCTTTTTCCTTCACTGCCTCTCCCATTTTGACATCCACATATCGTGGATGCCGAGACAAGAGTGACCAGCAGCGGTAATCCACGGCGCATCGTAATCACGACTGGCTCTACTTCCGTCACCCTAACGACTTCCGGCACAGCGAGGAGCGCTTCCACTGACACCACGGTGAGCGGCTCCATAACAAATATCACCTCAGGGATGAGTACTGCCACCGCGATCATTTCAACCACTCTCATGCCCTCCTCGCTCGCGCCCCGCCCGCCCGCCAGGCTCGACTAATCGGTGGCCGCGCATTATAGCCGGCGCTATTGTATTGTCGTATGTAGTTAGCCCGCGGCCGACAAAACGAGCGAAATCCATCTGAGGGTTCATTCTTTTTGTGAAGTGACGACGTGATCGACTTCCTTCACAAAAAGGTGTGCGCGCCACCGGTTGGTCATGGCTTCCTATGATCAATGGCCGACCCTGCGCCTTGTATTCCACGAGTCAATCCACCTGATACGAGCAAACAGAAGGCTCCCCGCTTGCCGAAATGATCACTCTACCTTGTAACTCATCTCCCATTTGGCAATCCGTTGCCGTCTCAGTGGCGCCTCGCGCTAGACTTAACCGCCGCGCCACCCTCTTCTGGTCGCGCAAATGCGCCGCCTGTAGAACGCCGCAGAAATAGGGGAAGCGATGGCTAGGGCGAGTAGCGGAAGAGGTCTGTTAGCAGACCGTGCCTGCTGTCTGTCGGAGGCTAGATCCTGAAGAAGAGCCAGAGGCAGGAAGGTTGACTGATGCAGCCAGGAGCCTGTGTTGAAATGACCCCGGCGGTCGGCCGGTAGGGCGTTCTCCGAGCAGACGCAGTGGGGAGGGGGGCAAATGATGAGATACAAAGGGCCTGGAGGTCACTAGAGGCCATGTCATGAGATCAGAATTCGAGAAGCCCCTCATTTTGCACGCGAAATGAACGGCGGCGCAACGTGCCCGCCGCGGGCCCATCGGCTAGCGCAGCGGACAAGTGCAGGAGGGAAACAGAACGCGAAATGAACGGCTATCCGACCTGGTTTGTATTTTCGTGAGTCATCGGTGGTGCCGCGACTGATCGTCGTCACTGCTAGGGCCGCGTTCGTCTGCGGATTCCGGAAACGCGTCTCTGCCTTTGTCTTGCGTGGGAGCGGATGTGGGAGTGGTGGCATCTTCTCGTCGCGCTGTGTGGATCCAGCCGCCTGGAAGCCAGGTCACATACCCGAACCCTGAGCTGCTGCAGTCGGACGAGGATATAATGCGGGTAGTTGTCGCTCCACGAGTACTGAATGTCGGAGCCATAAGCGAATCGAGTCGGTGGTACAAGCGTCTGAGGGCCTGCTGTACACAGATAAGCCGCACATGGTGTGAGAAGGGAAGGGGGTTGTGGAAATTGAAGACAAACACAATGACGTGCGCGTACTGGGCCGCGTGCCCAACGCGTGCCACACGCGTGTCAGTGATGCCACGTGACCGTGTTCCGGACACTTCCGGATCAGCCCCCCGCGGTGCGTGCGTTGGTTGGATTCAAGCTCGGACTGTACTTTACGCTGCTTCCGCCTACCATCTTGCTGACGTGTACTTGTTGGAATTGTTATAAATATGAAAGCCGCCGTTAGGACTTGGTACGCCCTCTCACACCAAGCATAGCACCGTGAGGGCGAGTGCTCACGGATGCTGAGCCGGAGGCCGCACCTCGTAACGTGCCATCCATGCATTTTGGTGTGTACGCTCCTGAGAGTGTCCGCTACCCTGACTGCCATTTGTGTTCTCCAAGAGTTGTTGTTGCACCACTGGTACGGATCAGTCCACTCTTGACCTGAGGCCTGAGGACTTGGCGCCCTAAGCCCGCATCGCGACTGGCATGAGGTTCTGCGGCTGATATGTGTTGTTTCGTTATCCCGATGGTGAGCGGTAGACGCTTTCCTTGTCGCGCGCTGACAGTCTATCGATCCGACCGAGTATCCTGATCTGGCCGCTTGTCCCATTGCGTAGCGTCGCCTCGTTCGTCAGATGGTACAACGACGTGGATCTCAGTGTACGATTGTAATCGAATGCATTCAGTTCGTCAATTGCGCTCCAATCTGCGATGAGATAGCCTTCGGAGATCGTTTCCCCACTTCATGATGCTGTGCGCCGCTTGACAGGGTGCGTAGTTCATTGGCGCAGCGGGACTGATATGGTGAATACTGAGCTGTCAGTCATTTATTGGTGCTCGTTGGTACGCGGTACGGTCCACATGGGAGACCCCATGCTGACGTACTCAAAGAGCCGCTGTGGAGAGGCCTGAGGTCAACTGCTCATGATGTGCGTGCGCATAAATAGCAGAGGTGTGTGTCTTCGCTCAACTCGTCGAGCTTGAATGTTGATACAACTTCAGGCTTCCAGGCTTACGCCGCGCGGATCGTCACTTGAGTAATGTTCAGCTCCTCTGCACCACGCTCTTACTCCTCAATACGTATGCATTCCCACATCCTTTGTGACAACGCCTGACAAATCAGCCTCAAACTCTGGAAAATTTCATGCTGTTGGACGAGTCTGTGCAGGCCATCAAGCCGTTATCACAGTCATCGAGAACCGGTGAAAACTGCTGACCCTGTTAGCCGCGCGATCCGAAAGAACCCTCTAGTTCCGGAGAGGCTATGAAGGAAAATTGAACATGCATAAGTATTCGTGGGATGGCACTTTCCTCTGCTAAGACTGACATTGGAAATATGGACAGTAGAGCTACCACTGCTAGCGCTCTGCGATCATCCTAAGCATTGACGCTGTTCAGCAGCCAAACACCGTAGAACGTCGGCAAACGCGCGGACATATCTTCAGTGAAAGTTTCGTTGCCGGGCGGAGCGGGCCGATCTGTCTGATCAGCGCACTGTGGAAGATTGTGGAGAAGGTGGAGTTCGTAAACGCTCGGGCAGCCTGATCACAGGACATTGGTCCGATTATGCGCGCGGACAAGCATTCCGATTTTCGCTTCCATGGCCTATTTAACGAGGGGACGTTCGCCAGCCCAGTCACCGCTATCGGCTTACGACTGGCACACAGCGTGCAGAACTTGTATTACGACTCACCATGAAGTCTATGGCTACTGCCTCGGGCAGACGACTGTATCTTACGATCAACTTTGTGGCCGGGCTGGCTATTTTCTTGTAGGTCCGGTCCCTGCGCTTGCTTGGGCTGCTCATGTGAACGACCTTGACAGCTTCGGCTATGACCAAGGCATGATGGGTGGTATGTTCCGCATGCATATCCAACTCCTCGTATGTGTGGCCTGATAGAACGCGCAGGTGTCAACACCGCTCCAGACTACGTTCGCGTCATGCAGCTAGGATATTCCACGTGAGCACACCGACTTAGTGGATTTATTTAGTAATTTGACCTCTTGTTTAGGTATCAAGGCCCTTCAGAGGGTTACGTTGTTACGATCACCGAGCCAACGAAACAAGGCGGCATTGTCAGCATATACTACCTCGGAACTCTAATAGGATGTCTCATAGCTGGTGTGTTGGGTGACAGGCAAGTAAACGATTCGATAATCTGAATCCACCAATTAAATCGAGTACATATTTTCTTCAGGATTGGGCGTATCAGGACAATGATGATTGTAAGACTTTCCCTACAGCGTGTCGCATAGCCAGCTCATTCGACCTCAGGGCAGTCTGTGGGTCCTCGTCGGTGCCACCCTCCAATGCTCTGCGCAAAACGTCGTGTGGTTCGTCAACGAGAAATGCGATTGAGCGCGACGCGCGATGCTGAACCTGTATCTAGGATGCTTTGTGCCCGTGTCGTCAACGGGATTGGTACGGGATTTCTGAACGCCATCGTTCCAGTATGGAGTGCAGAAGTCGCCTCGCATACGACAAGAGGAGCGTTCATCGCAAGCGAATTCACCCTGAACATATTTGGCGTCGTCGTAGCTTATTGGCTAGAATTCGGCCTCGGCTTTGTTGGTGACGGCACAAGTCAAGTGCGGTGGCGGGTAGGTGTAGTGCTTTTATTTTTATTTTGGGAAGATGCACTCATTCCCATCATTCATAATCTAGTTCCCAATAGCATTCCAGATCCTACCCGTTTTAGCGTTCATGGTGGGTGTCATTCTGACCTGCTACAGTTCTACTTGTGCTGAAAAAAGCATTGGTTTCATAGCTCTGCATACCCATGATGCCAGGTAGGGATTATAGGCCTCGAGCTGAGTTCGTTGTAACTAAGTTGTCACAGAAAGTCCGCGTTGGCTTATGAAGATGGGCCGTGATAAAGAGGCACGCAGCATTCTGGGCCGCCTCCGTTCGGAAACAGGCAACACTGAAGATGCGCGCGTGGTCGCTGAATACGAAGAAATTGTCGTGGCAGTACAGCTCGAGAAGGAACACGCTGCGGGAAACACATACTTTGCTATGTTGTTCGGCTTCCACGACAGCGACCTCCACGTCGCCCGCCGCGTGCAGCTGTCCATCTGGCTTCAGATCGTGCAGGAGTGCGTTACCCTGTGTTTCATCCCAACGTATCAGACGCTGATAACGATGTTCAGATGGGTGGGCATCGCGGCTATCACGGTGTACGCGCCGACCATCTTCGCAGAAGCCGGGTATGGTGCTCGGAAGTCACAGTGGCTCTCTGGGTTGAACGATGTTCGTATTCTGCGTCTTCATTTGTGTCAAAGCTCTGAGCCTTCCGCTAGATCACGTACATGCTGAGTACGCTGCTTGCCGTGTTGACCATTGATCGCCTCGGCAGACGTATTGGCCTATGGTGGGGCGCCGTCGGGCAGGGTATCTCCTTGATCCTTGCGGCCGCATTCACCAGACTGCTCAAAGATAATCCGGACAAGGCCGCTCAGTATGGTGGTGCGGCTGCGCTGTTCGTCTTCATGTACACGGCAATTTTCGGCGCGACGTGGTTGACCATCCCGTGGGTATACCCGACCGAGACCTTCCCGCTCTATGTCCGTGCGAAGGGAATGGCGTGGGGTGTCTTCGGATGGTCGATTGGTATGTGTTGGCGAATTATATTTGGATTGGGGCTCTACTGATGCTGTCACAGGCAATGGCTGGCTCACGCTTCTCAACCCAGTGATGTTCTCCAGCATCCAGGAGAATACGCTGCACATTTTCGGTGCTATCAACTTTCTGGCAATTCCGATGGTGTGGGCGTTCTATCCGGAGACGGCGAACCGCACATTGGAAGAGATGGATCACTTGTTCATGAGCAAGAGTCCGTTCGTGTGGGAGGAGGAGGCACACTTCAAGAAGTGGAAAGAGGAAGGCGAGCCTGCTAGAATCAGGAACGAGCCAGAAGTGCGTGATGTGGACGATTTCGATTTGAAGGTGGACGAGATGAATAACGTGGAAACGAAAGTATGAGGGCTTGCATGCACTGATTCACGTTAGTGATGTGAAGACATGCTCCCGTGCAATTTTGCCACATAGCGTAGTACCACGAGATCGCAGCATTGAATGCGGTTTTATAATTGAGCCTCTAATCCGCTAGTCGGACTTTCCCTGTATAATACATTTTGGGGATATGTGAATACTTCAGTCTAGCCTCACGAACATCAAGATTGTCGCCGTGAATAGATCGAAGGTCGCGAACTCCATTACATGTCCATCACGGTGCACTTTCCGTCTACTGGCACTAGAATGGGACATCCAATCGAGACTTACAAGACCAGAGTCTGGCTAAATTTGAATGGGTTTCAAATAGCTGTCTTTACGACTCTATGGTGTGTGCATGATTCCTGACAACCAACGTCAATTCATTTGCCAGATGTGACTGCAACAAAGACCCCTGTTCACCGTAGCCGATGCTACTTTACAGGCCCGCGAGCGTTCTGTCCTTCGAACTGATGTTCGTAGACGTCAGCTGCCGATATCTGTCACCTAGTAGCACCATGAGGTGATCTGGCGCTATCTGGTGCGACCAGTTTTGCCCACCAGGGATATCTGTACGCCTCGTCCATGCATGCCAATGCCTCGGTATCAAGCATCTCCACCCACCTGCACGTATTCATCTTCACCTCGATCGAGCTTGGCGCGGGTTGGACAGAGACTAGCGCAGTCCAAGAGCATCTTTTATTCGGGACACGGCGGCATATGGTTGGAAAGGATGATACCACAACATTCCATGTTGGAAATTCCGATTGAAGACGGATATTAACTCTGCAGTCAGCAGTACGGGGTTGTCTCGCCGGATTTTATTCATCAGTGGTCCCGTCAATTGAAGACACTCCCACGCTGAACCTGATCTCCTTGCCTTGCAAATAATACTATCATGAGGTAGTATTGTCGCAGTCCATCGAGGCTGTGGTACAGAACTAAAGCAGCGACTGGCTTTATTGGGCACGAGTTGAGGCAAACGTTTGTTCGCTGCGCTGTTGTCATTATACCTCATGCCGGTAAACAAATGCTTTGACTCGACATCCTTAGGATATCCCTTGTTCTGCGTATGGTCAGAGTCACAGATCTGCACGTTGCCACGAACAGCCGGCACGAGTCGTTTTCAACGGGATCAGATAAGACGCTTGCATACGACCATCATGGCGGTGTTCCGAACCTGCTCCCTCCTTCTCCAGCCCGCTTGGTCATTCTGCTTGAGCTTGGCCCGCTGTGGCAGTGGCTGTGGACTTCGGCTTTTGTCACAAAAATTCTTGACGCCACGTCGCCGGAACAAGAAGATCTCTCAGTACATATAATCTCTCGAATTCAACTTTTAGGCGCTTCAACATCTGAGCTGAGACTCGCCACTCCGGTCCTGGTTGATTAGGTTGGGATTTATGAGAGCGAAATGGATTGCCCATTACTAGTGTGGATGCTTTTCCTCAATCGTGAACTCGGTCCAGAGGTGCGCCCGTTGCATCGCCCGTCCTGGTTGGCGCTCATGCGAAGGCTGTCCCGACCTTCTCTACCTGTGGTCACACCAGGAATACGAGCGATGTCATCAAACCATGACAGCCTGTGTTCCCCATGCGCGAGTTCAGTTCACGCCCAATGTTCCTGATTCTGCGCGTGAGCGGCTCATTCTCCGCCCTCATAATTTTACTGACACCATCTCCCTACGCAGGCCAAGTGATTGCGCATTTACTTCCCCTGCTAATGATGCGGCACAGGCGAATACCGAGAGCGAAATGGAGAGACATGGTCAATCAGAATGGGAAGCATTATATTGAGCAGGTGCGTGGCGTTCTGATCGCATGAAGAATGCAGCGCCTAAGTCTTCGCAGGACTGCGATAGCGCAATGAACCCGACTCACAAACTGCGATCCATGATTGGTTATCACCTTGCTTACGACAATAATGTAGTCGGCATGGTCATGACACAAGGGCGTCAAAAAGATGTAGTCAACATCGGCCTAGGCATCAAGCAGCTGGCTGTGTACCCACCCGATGCGCCTGTGGGTGCTTATGCGGAGTCTTTCTACCACAAGGTACGCTGCATACAGTTCTTATTGAATGCTCACTAACCTTTTGCAGCTTACTGCTATGGAGCAATCGTTCATCAAGCCCGACGAGGGTGACGACGTGGTCCTCCGGCGGCTCTGTCTGATGCTTGCGCTCAAGCAGGCGTACATAAAGGCAATCGGGCAACCTATAGGGTTCGACTGGACGCGACTTGAGTTCGACATTCCAAAAGAGAGCGCGACGGGTGACGGCATTCCGTTGCAAGGCTGGGAATTCCGCGTATGGCAAACACAGATCCAGATTACGCGCAACGGACAGCCCGTGCGGGAGTCTTACCAGTGCGCTTGCGCCTTCTTCCGCGGGTCGAGGGAGAGCAAGTTCATATGGCAGAAGGAGCAGAAGGATCTTGAATCGTGGGTGCAATTCATCAACCTTGATCAGCTCGTAAATGTTGTCCCCAAGCTTACGGACTAAGCGCATCCGCTGTTGGTTCTTTCATTCTTCATGCATTGCCAGATCTCTTCGCCTCCGATCTCTGCAACCGACACATAGACGTTGCTCTAATCATTCAAACAGTCCGCTAGAGTCTGTATCGCTGTCTAATGCTTCATGCTAGTGATCAAGTTGTTTATTCTTTGCGATGCCCTGTCTCTCATAGTGTACTCATTGTCAATGTATCATTACTCGACAGCTACCTCCAGATACTAGTAGAGCCGGTTGACACCGCCGGCTATGAATGATGTGTGCGATATAGCGAAAAGGTATCTCGCTTTAGGGTGTACGGCGCGCGGTGCTGAAAATCTAATTTAGAGACATTGTAAACAGCTATATTATTCAACTGTCTTGCTGCAACTTACGAGTGAAGTTTACGATGAACGCTGTATCGCACTGACCTCAGGATCGAGTTTCCCTTCCTCGCCTGATCTTACATCGTCTTGCGCTTCCCGCACTGTTTCTTTCCAATCCTTGAAATATGCCTCCTCGTCCCAGACAAATGGGCTCTTGCTCATGAATAGATGATCCATCTCCTCCAGAGTGCGATTTGCAGTCTCGGGGTAGAACGCCCATACCAGTGGGATTGTCAGGAAATTGACCACGCCGAAGACATACAGCGTGTTCTCTGCGATGTGGGTAAACATGATAGGGTTCAGCAGGGTGAGCGAACCGTTGCCTTTCAATTGCGGAAAGAATCAGGAGGTACGATGGCATGAGTAAAGATCGTGGACGACGTACCGATTGACCAGCCTACCACGCCCCAAGCGTTTCCCTTTGCCCGCACGTAGAGAGGGAAGGTCTCAGTTTGGTACACCCATGGGATTGCGAGCCACGTTGCTCCAAAGGTTGCAGTGTAGGCAAAGACGAATAGTGCTGCGGCGCCGCCGTATCGGGAAGCATCTTCTGGATGATCCTGCAGCAGTTTGCTGAATACAGCTGCAAGAATGAGGGAGGTGCCTTGTCCTACTGCACCCCACCAAAGACCGATGCGTCTGCCTAGTCTGTCGATTGCGACGACTCCAAAAAGAGTGCACATCGTATATGTAGTCTGAGATACCAGTGAGATTCGAGCAATCAAAGATGCGAGTCCAAACCTACGTAGTTCAAGCCCGAGAGCCATTGAGACTTGCGGGCGCCATATCCCGCATTTGAGAATATGGTTGGCGCATAGAATATAATCGCCGCAATTCCCGACCACCTGTGCTCTATAGGTTATCATCAAAACACATTATGACAGACATCGAATCACAAACTCTTGAAGGATTTGTAACCACATGGACAATTGCACACGGCGCGCCACATGCAGATCACCATCATGCAGCCCAAAGAACATCGAGAAATATGAGTTGCCTGCCGCATTGGCCTTTTCTAGCTGAACAGACTGGATGATTTCATCATATTCTGCGATAACACGAGGATCGTTCACGTTTCCATCTTTACTGCGGAAGCGGGCCAGAATCAAGCGAGCTTCTTCGCTGCGGCCCGTCTTGATAAGCCAGCGAGGGCTCTCTGTACGGTAAGCAGTCAGCAGAGTTAGAGATGCCCTTGCACGTTCTGACCTGGCATCACCGGTACACAGACCTAAAATATTTCTAATATCAGTGATCAGCCAAGCTGAGAACAAGTATTCGGAGCACCATGAAGAACAGGATAGGAAGAATCTGAAATGCTATGGGAAACTGTACAAGGATCAACTATACGTTGTCTTCAGATGAAATGAGGTTAGCACAAACCCGCCATCGAATTGAGCCTGTCCCGTCGCCGATAAAGCTCAAGCCAAATTCAAGCCAATATGCCACAACGACACCGAAGATATTCAAGGTAAATTCACTGGCGATCATTGCCCCTCTGGACTTTGGTGAAGATACTTCGGCTGACCAAACCGGTACGATTCCGCAGAGAAAACCACTCCCGATTCCGTTGATGATACGAGCACAGAGCATCCTGAGAGAGATTTAAACGATGACAGAGACACCGAGAAGGAGCTTACCAGGAGACATTCTGCGCTGAACACTGAAGAGATGCTCCAAGAAGAACCCAGAAACTCCCCTGGACACACAATATGACGATACATTAGGGTGACTGGATGGGTTCATGTAAAACCTACTATCATCATGGTCTTGATTCGGCCGATCCTAAGCAATGGAAGTGGAAGATTATGATTACGAGCCATGAAGCTATTCACCTGTCGCCGAAAGCACCGCCCATCAGGGCTCCCAGCAGTGTGCCAAGGTAGTATATACTGACGATGCCGCCTTGTTTGGTAGGCGCTGTGATGGTGACTACATAACCTTCCGCTGGGCCTTCGTAACTGACTTATACTGTTCACCAGAGCCAGAACGAGATACGATGAGAATGCATACGTAGAATAGCCTAGCTTCATGACGCGGATATAGTCGGGCGACGTATTAGCACCTGGATATTCGTAATGGACTGAGCGAAGCGGACATTGAGGCGGCAAAAAATACCCACCTCCCATGATTCCCTGGTCATAGCCGAAACTAGAGCCGCAGAACGAGTCAGTCTCGAGTCACAATTCGTGCACGAAACGTACAAGAAGATGGCAAGACCCGCCACAAAGTTGACTGAATAGTAAAGACGCGATCCGGAAGCTGACTTCAGAAAATTCATGCTTATAAGCAACTGCGGCAGTGCTGGTGAAGAAGGCTTCGTTCCCATGAAGATACATATGCCAAGTCAATATAGAAAAATCCTACATCTCATGACAGGAGAAGGCCGAAAACGGCCAGACTCTAGAGATCATGAGGTTCACGAGAATGAGCCTTCACTGAGTCGTCACGGAAGCTTTATGGGTGATCTGATGAACCAATGACGCGTAGGTTTGTACAATCCAATCTACAGTGTAGCGCCGAAAGACATCGAACTGTCGCATAGCGTAGAAGCTACATGCACAGGGCAGAAAGTGTTGGAAAGTACAGCATCTGGGACAAGCATGGTTCAGAGTATTCCAGGAGGCATGGCATTTGACATCGATCGTCTTGAGGTATCGCTTATTCACATTGACTAGAATTGTGTTCGGCTAGTCGACTCCAGTATCTAAAATGAGACACGAACAGCCAAGTAATGGTTGAGTAAGTCGCTATTGTGGAGTCAACACGGGTCAGAGTAGACAGACAAAATGTTGATCATAGTGCGCGTGGCGACACGCATCCTCGCACCCGCCGGATAGGTTATCGAGACAAGACTAGAGACATCATACGTCTTGTCGAAGTAGAAAATTGCCATGGAAATATAATGACTCACTTTTGCCTCATAATCATCGTCATAGCTGGCGAGTGATGTACATTATGGAGAATTAAATGAACAGAGGTGGGTGGGCGTAGCTAGGCGCAGGCCGCGGCCCTCGTCGCGCGACAAATACAAAGCAATCCGAATATTCTGAATCGTCGTTCTCAAAGTAGTAGAAGTATCGACCGCTGTATTATTTGAAAAATTGATGGAAATGAGAATTAACAGGGTGATTTGTTGGCTGAGATCAATGATCCAAGGATGATGGTGAAGGCTTGCGGCATTTTCCGGACCTGAGCGAAGGCCTCCTTCGAGTTTCTTCCCTCCTGGAATACATTGTCCTCTTATCTTAATCCGACCAAATCAGACTCTGCCAAGACAACAACCGCTCTCTGTACATCCATAGTCTGGCCCGCCGCTCCTCAGTGCCAGGATGGCGTCTCCGGGGGCACAGCTCGCGCTTGAGTCGTCCTTCCTCCTCCTCGTAAGGTATGTTTCGCTTATTGTCGTGACTTGAGTCTATCTGACTATATTTCTGCATCATTCCGACACAGACTCGCGCTCTTCTTCAGCTGCCGCAAATTCCTCCTCCGCCATCTCTACTACGATCTCCAAGACCTCTCCGCTAAGCGACCCCTCGGTTCGCGTTCCACATCCGCATCTGCGTCCACGGACGATGTCGCGAATATCGAGCTGGAGTCGTTCGTGACGCTGCCACTGCCGTCAACATCGGAAAGTGCGTCGCCAGAGCCACCGCGCAGACCGTTCCACTCGACGCTCGCGCGCGGCCTATTCGCGCTCTGTTTCTCGGAAAGCTGTACCCTATTCGTCCTGCTTATGTGCCAGGCGCTAGAAATTCTGCATGCGCGGTAAGTGTTTCCGTGCTTTCGTGATAGTGCACGAACTGATGCGCAGGAGCAGCGCGCGACTGATCAACTGGAATATCTCACTGGCCCTTCTCCTCCTCGCCATCCTCGTCCTGATCCCCGTCTCGTATAGCCTCGTTCTCACCGGTGCGTCTACCTTTTCTTCCCCTCTCGCCCACTGATGCTCTGTAGGCTTGCACACGCGTCAGCGTCCATCTGCGCTGCGCATCGTGCTGAATCTCGTCCCTGTATGCTTGCTGCTACTCGCGCTCTCCTATATCCCCCTCCCTTCCGTAGCGTTCGAGGCCCCCCCACACAGCATGCTCATGGACACACTCTCGCGCCTTACCGTCCTCGGCACAATTATCCTTGGCGCGCTCTCGGGCTTTGGCGCGATCAGCAATGCATGGACGTTCTTCCCGGCTGTACGTGGGGGGCAGAGGTGCGTTCTCAGGTAGCGCTGTTTCGCTGACACAGTGCGCTGACCTGTATCGTGGTATGGCGAAGGAGCGACCCGACAGAGGAGGAGATACGCGCAGCGGAGCTTGGCCTGCAGCGTGTGCAGAGCGACTTGTCAGAGCGCCAGATGGAGGTGCAGAAGCTCGAGGCGGCAAAGGTGCGTGTTCTTGTTCATGTCTGCTATATATATGTTACATCTCATTGTCATTCCTGCGCATGTAGCAGCCAGATCAAGAGGGCGGCTGGTTCTCGCGCGTCGTACCCAGCTTCCGTGGCGACTCTCGTACGTGCTTCCCTGTCCTCCTCGTTCGTGCTAACTTTCCGCCCCTTGTGCATCTTTTCGGTGCAGAGCTATCGTCTGCACGACAAGAGCTGCGCGGACTCGAGGCGCTCGAGTACGAAATGGCACGCAACCTCGAGGTACTCCGGCAGCGCCGCGCGGATGCACAATTTTCACGCACGATCGCGGGGCGGCTTGTTAATTGGGGCGGACGTCTTTTCGCGGTGTACTGCATGTATCGCATACTGAACGTGCGTTATCGAGTGACCCATCCGGCTCTCTACGCATGTATGATGTGCATGTCTCACAGGCTATCATCAACCTCGCCCTCCCCGCGCGATCTGCCATCGCGCCCACAGAGGGAACGGAGTTGGGGACGGCTCAGGGAGGCGCAGGCGCAGACATGATCAGCGTCGCGCTCGTGCACCTTGTTGCGCTCCTGCCACACGTCAGTGTCAGTTCGGAAGAGATCGCGTCAATCTCGCGCCAGATCAGCCTCGCCCTCGTTGGGGTGATCATTCTGAGCAGCATTCGACTGGTTCTACGCGGTGTTGCCCGGGTGGGTAGTATCCGGTTGTATTTAATAAATATTGAAAACTTTTAATACAGGCTTTGAGAGTGACGAGTCGTGCGTTGGGTGCATCCCTTATGCTACTCGTTCTCGCACAGCTGATGGTGAGTCTTTACCCCTAATGCGTGCGTGTGCATATCATGTATTTCCACAACATAGGGCATATACCTTCTCTCGACGCTCGTCCAGCTACGCACGTCGTTCCCACCCCCCGCACGCCCGGACGCGGAAGCGGACGAGGCAAACCTGTTCGCGACGCTGCCGCAGTACCAGCTATTCGGTGCACTATTTGATGGCACGTTACTCATTGTGGCTGTGGGTAGCATAGCGGCAAGATGGTTTGGTGATAGGTTGAGGGAGGCGGGAACATGAGGGTGAGTCGGACATTCGAGGAGGAGTCGGCTTGGACCTTGCAGTGCGGATATTGCATAGAAGTTGAGTTACGACAAACACATGGACTATCGAGACGTTCAAATAATGAGACATACCCACGGCATGTTGAAACTGTATTTATAGGTTTTGCTGCGTATTTATTTGTTTGACGCTTCGGTCGGTGTATGGGTGAGTCTGTCTTGGCCCCCCAACCTCTGTCCCTCCCCGTCGATTTACTTCGCATTCGTATAGGGTAAGCAGCCAATATTCAATGCGGCGCTCGGATTAGCAGGAGATTAATGAGAAGATTGCACAGGTCAGGCGGCGGATGACAGGAAAGAGGCGGAGCTTTAATGTCTGAAGCTTGGAAGAGTGCTCAGTATGGTGAGTGATCAGACATGCGCCGCAGCGCTCTTATCCGGAACGCTCACGTTCGTCTTTGGACATCGCGCTCGCCGTTGGCCATTGGTTTCACGGGCGTCCTCGCTGCTCATCGTATCTCAACCTCTAATTTGCCCCGAGTGATCTGTATCCGTCGTGTACTTGAAGCATCTGCAAAGCTCGAGCGGTGAGCCGCTTGTCTCATTTTTTGATAAATTATCTCACATCGCAGATCATACTGGTGGGATCGTAGAGCGACTTGCTCGAGACCGTTTGCTCATTGGTTGCGAGCCTCGCGCCTCTGAGATTCATTACAACTCGCTGTCGGTGTCTGGCATTTTGCTGTGCTGTTCGCTGATCTATCCGCTGCTCATCGCATCTGTCCCCTTCCCCCAAGCTCTCGCAACCTCATCCTCTTTGTCCTACTTCGCCCCCACTTTATTATCAGGATCGTTGTCTCGTGCGGTTCGTGAACCCCAGGCCGTGCGCATTCTTTTTTTCACCTCCTGATCACTCAACCCCCTCTCTTGTACTTGTTTCTCTTCCCGCTGTTCGTTATTTTCCCTTTCCGAATATTTCGCGCTACTCGTGTTCGTAAAGACTTTTCAAGGCCGGATCACTGCTCTTTGTACCAGATCCCCCGGATCGGCTCGAACATTCTGCTGAACCATCCCGCCCCCAACCCTGTTTGTTTGATTTTCATTCACCCGTCTTCTCTCTCGCTGATGTTCGGATCAAATTTGTAGGTTTTTTTGCGGTCTTTTTCGAGCTTCGAGTACCCCCTCAAACGCTTGCCTGCGTTCTCCCGTATTGGCGCCAGTCAAATGTCATTCCCCTGCCCACGAGTCGCTGATATTCGACGATATCTAGCTTCTTTTTTGCTCAGTGTCAATCACAACTCCCCTCGTCTATCTATAATGACTAGGTCGCACTACATGCATCCTCCTCTCCAGGGTGCTCGTTCCATTCGAGTGATTCGTCTGGAACCAGCATCATCCCCCTCATCTTGTCTTCGCTGCAGCCTTGTAGAGGTTTCGCTCGACGATTTGCCGGAATACTCCGCGCTCTCGTATGCGTGGGATGCACAAACACCTTCCTGCCCGATCGATTGTGGCGGCGGTGTCTTATCCATCACCCCCAACTGTGCGGCCGCTCTTCGGCGGCTCCGTCATGAACAAGAAGAGCGCACACTGTGGATCGATAGCATCTGCATCGATCAAACCTCGCTCGAGGAACGCAGCCACCAAGTCGCTCTCATGGATGAAATTTACAGGCGCGCGAAGGAAGTCGTCGTCTGGCTGGGCGAAAGTGATAGGCGCACTGAGAGAGCAATGGATTGCCTCTCGGATATTGGACAGCTCGGCAGCGATACCGATGTGCAGCGTCGGGAGCGGACTCTTCACCTTCTCTTTGGTCTTACTGTCAAGGACGCATCAGATGACCCTATAGGCCCGTTGTTCCAGTGCTCGTGGTTCGGCCGCATGTGGACCGTCCAGGAAGCGACTCTGGGAGAAGTGGAGAATGTCACTATACACTGCGGCGATAAGACTCTTCCCTGGATCTTCATGGTCCTTTCTCTTGGTTATTTGAAATCTTCTCAGTACAAGTGGGGCCGGTGGGATGAGGCCATGCAACTCCAGCGATATCTCTCTTCTTTGCTTATGAGCAGCAGACACCTTGAGCTCCGTGAGGTGCTCTCCGCGGAACCAAATCAATCCGCCCTAGTCATCTTGGAGGCCCTGATTTATGCCAGGGAAAAGAGGTCTACTGACCCCAAGGACAAAATATTTGCTCTCTTTGGTGTCTTTAGGGAGCTAGGAGTGGAACTACCACTGCCAGATTATACCAAGTCTGTGGAGTTGGTCTATGTGGAGGCCACTGTTGTCTGTGTTAGCCATGACAGGAGCCTTCTTGTACTTTTGGAGGTGTCTTCAGACAATCGTTGTTCAGGACTGCCATCATGGGTCCCAGACTGGAGTGATGCTGGATGGAAATTTCCAGATTCCAGGAGGGCTGCTTCTCAAGGACACTTTCATGCTACAAAGTCAGCAGAACCAACATGGGGCTTTTCATTTAATCACCAATGCCTTCTGGTATCTGGAGCTCTTGTAGATTCCATCACTATTTGCTGCCCATCCCTTGACATTGATCCAGATGCCAGCTCTAGCTTCCAGTCAAACCTCTCTATTGATGGACTTACAATGGGGAGTGGGCATTGGAATTTCAGCAGCTTCTTACAGATACTTCATTCTACTGTCGAGGTTCTCAGAAGTTGGGTTCAGGCCAGCTCTTTATCTCAGGAATATCCAACTGGAGAATCTGTGAAGGTTGCACTACATCATACCTTGAGAAGTGGTGATACATCTCAAGATATTGAAGATACTGCTTTCAATGCCTGGCTTCAGATCATGACCACCCCTAATGAAGAACTCATGCCCATCATACAAGGTGCATTACCAGAGTACAATTCTTTCTTTGCTCTCACAACTGGACCAGCGTCTAAATCTCACTTTGCAATTATCAAAAATTGCAATAAAAGGTGTTTTTTCACTACAGAGCATGGATACTTTGGAATGGCTGCAAATCATATACAGGCTAATGATAGGATTGCTCTAGTTGCAGGCCTTGAAATGCCTGTTATTTTGAGACCTGTAGATCAAGGTTACCATCTGATTACTCATGCCTATATCCATGGCTTGATGTATGGTGAAGCATGGCCTGACAATATTGTAGCACTTGAAGAAATTAGACTACTGTAGTTTGCTAGTGTCTACAGACTCTTCCATAGCAGCTTTAAACTTGCATCTCAATTCAAAAAACTTTCATGTTTGAATAAATTTTGACTGGAAGTATCACACTAGAACAACTGAATCTCAAACCTGAATACATAGATACCCCAGCAGCTTTTGAGGGACCAGCCTCATTTGTCAGCTACTGCTGCCTCTATGTCAAAGCTACCTTAATACTGAGAATAAGAGGAGCTAATTCTGCATGCCTCACTCCAGCTACATAATCAATCAAAGTCCATGAAGACCATTACCAAATCACAACAATAAGATTATCTACCGGAGTGCTATGATCGGTGTGGGGGTATCTTAAGTAGTCTGTAGGAGCATAGTCTCATCGCTCAGCGTCCACCGTTGCAAATCCATGATCCAAGTAACATCTCCACTTCTCTGTCTACAAAATCGCCACCAGTCCCAAGAAGACCGTTCCCATGGCGATACAAATAGCAGTTGTGCTGGTGCCAATCGTCTTGGGCGCACCCGAGCCGAGAAGTCCACCGGAAAGCGAACCTGCTGCCTCCGCAGCGCCACTGAGGAAGCCCGCGCCGCAGGTGTTCTGGACGGCCTCATAGAGAGCAGACTGGCCCTTCATGAGAGGGCTCTCGTTTATGCCGGGCGCATACGGGACGTCAGTCTCAAATGCAATGTAAGAAGTGAGGATGTTGCGCGTGCACGTCGTGCAGAGTTCCGAAGACGAGAGGTTCGGAGACAGGAAAAGGAAGAGGATGTTATTTTCGCTGAACGTGGTGACGTTGGGGACGATCGAGATGGGTGCCTGCGACGAAGACGACTGACGCTTCGAGACAGATGGAGTTGTGCTCGAGGCCGAGCTCCAGAGGTACGACGAAATGGAGGAGAATGCGCCACTGGACGAGGATGCGCCGTTGTTCACGCCAGAGGAATTTGTGCCCGCAGATGAGATATCAAGCACGCAGTACTTGCCATTGTCATCTTTGCTGCACATCGCCTGCGAGAGCGGGATGAGAGAGTATAGCACATCGTACGTCCGCTGTACTGCTGCATTTGGGCTTGAGGTGAGCTCAGTGGTGCATGCTGCGTAGAATGATGCGATAGAAGTGCGAATCGACGAGGAAGAGCACGCGGAAGTCGAGCCGCAAAGGGTTCCCAGTGAGCTTTCGACGGTGGACGCGCTGGGGTCTGAGCTGTCGCTGGCGTTGGGCCCAAATTGCGAAGTCGCACTGATGAGAGGGGATGTACAGCTCGACAGGCTCGTGTCTGCGTTGAATGTGGTCAAGAATTGGGTGCAGTTGGCACTGATTCCGGTAGGTATAAGAGCTGGAGGCTGCGTAGGGTGGTCAGAAGTGCAGAATAATTTTTTCGGCTTTGGCGGCTCACTGAAGATGAGGCCAGCGCCACGGCCGCAAATAAGGGGGCGACTGCAATAAACTTCATTTCGTAGGAGTAATGAACGGACGGGTTTCTTAAAGTCAACGACGACGAGGTAGCGAGGAGTTGTCAGTCCTGCAAGGGCAGACAGTGACACTGGTCCTGCACGCAGTCGTCCGGTTGCCACGTGCCATGTGTCAGCCAATCACAATCGGCAACATCCCCCGTCCATTTGAGCTAATGCCACTGAGAAACTATGTAGAGGCGGCCAACACTTTGTGGATTGCATTTCTTTCGAGATTTCTACCAAACTATCATCGCAAACTCTTTCACTCAAATTGAAAGGCAAATTTTTTTCTGCCACTAGGTCTAATTCGTTCCTGTACGGGTTGCTTCTTCTCTTCTTTTTCACATAGGAATGAATGCGAAAAACCGATACAAATGAAATAGAAGATTCGATCCTCCCATTTAATTATCTGTTCTAAAGCTGAACCGAATTTCGTTGAGGTATCGTACTTGTTGATCTTGAGCTGCGCCGCATTTTTTGTATATTACGACTCGGTGGCCCGCTGGAGGCGCACCAAGGCGAAACAGGCTCGTCTCCTAAAGACCACATGTTCAACCAAGAAAGTTACAGGTTATCATGCGATTCAAATATGAATCTTCCATCGACCGTACGACCGTGAGAGGTTGGAACGGGAAGAGCGAAGTGTGGTGATAGAACGGTGTGTCCCAGCGCTTCTACTGGTTCTATGCCACATTTTTACTGCAATCTGCGCACACGGATCACCCCAATTTTCACGGGGCCTTTTTAGATGCGAAACATGTAACTTGTCGCGCGCCACGTTCATCCGTTGGGACGAGTTCGCTGTGTGGACCTCAGCATATGGCACTCACACTTTGTCATAGTCAAAGCATTCGTTAACGACCTTATATGTTCGGCATGTTCTCGTGGTTGACGCTGGGCCGCGCACACGTTCTCTAGTGCTCTTTTACGCTCGCACATTCCGCAGCTGAAGATGTACATAGAATGACTGGCTGCAGGGAAACTGTCACGGTGGCAAGCTCCCAAATCAGCAGCACAAAATACTGCCTCCCGGCAATTTCTTCTCCGGCTTGAAATTTAACGCATCAAACCAACTTAGTACGTATGTAGTTGCACTCACCTGATGGCCCTGCACTACACGAGGCCCTATGACGTATTCAAATTGACGGCTGGTCCGGTATTTGCAGATAAGTCTGTTCGCGCACAGTTAAGTGTTGCCTGTCTTTATAACCAAAGGCGTTCCTTCACCTTTCCGGGAACGCTTAAGCTATTTACATTGAACAATTCGGTGGTTCCGAGTCAGCGGCGCATATACCAAGTATGCTTAAATACCCGTGAAGAGAGGGAGCCATCTCACGACTAGAGAGATCTGAGCAAGAGATGCCTCATCTGATGCCGGTTGCCTTGGTTGGTTGGGCACTAGGTGACATCCCGTATTGATATTGTGCCTCGAAATGCTCACTACCGCTTTTTCACTTCATAAAAGAGAATACTCGTACCAGCAGTAATTTCGATATGCATACTATTTACCCAAGGATCATAGTACAAGTTCAATAATGAATGCTCGCGTCTACAGATCTGCCACTACATGGCGATTCGTCGGGGACGGCCCCAGAGTATCATGACGTGCGAGGGGTACAAAGTGCGTGTATGGCGTTCAATCATTCAACCCCATGAATCTGATTGGATTTGTAGACTTGTGAAGCCATCAGCACATGTCGACCTATCAACCTGAAACGTGGATGCGGTTCATGGTCTTCGATATTCACGAGCCCAAACTACCCACTCCTTACGAAATCCCTCGTGATAGGCGATTACGCTAGCTGGTCTGATTCCATTGGCCTTGAAGTAAGACACTCTTTTGTCAAGTCTACTCCGGCAACGCGTTCGAAAATTGCAAGAACTCGGCACTCATTCAGCAACCCTGAAAGTGGCCGTCGTATGGATAATTCGTTGTTGCCTAGAATTCACCCGAGAACTCATGCCTGGCGATGAACCCAATATACTAAACAAATCATCCACTGTACTTGATTTCTTACAGAGTCCAATGACTACGCCAAGCTCAGCCTATACTTCTTGCACAGTGGCCTCTATTTGAAAAATCCCTTATTGGTGCTATAAACGATCCAGTCTCCCATGGCAATTGTTCTAGAGCGCCAAAACCTGGGTTATCTGAACCACAACTCGTAATCTGGCACACCGTCTTGATCCCTAACGATTTCTGGACGTTCTACCTCTTGCTTCCATTACTTATGAAAACACTACACGACGTATGTCATGACTCGTGATTGTCGATAGCGGCTGACTAGAAACGACAACAACTGTCCGGTTCTCGGCATCGGATTTTACCACCACGCGCATTCATATCAGCCCTGCATGTATGAGTGCGTTCTTATTGCTTTGTGGTATGCTTTGATCATCACATTCTCGTCATGCATCGTATCAGCGGGAAACACGTTGTGGTTCAAATAAGTCTCCTCTATCCTCGCGTTCATGGAATCGTCGATCGTCCCTCAAGCGGAAAATACGCCGTTATCATTCCCTACACGTCGGACGACGGTGCCACAAGTGACTTTGCTTATCGGGCCTTACACTCCACTATGTATGCTTCACCTCGACACTGTGGATAGTGTTAATGTTTGCACAGGCCATATCGCCGACCATCCCTTCTGCCTGATGCAGACAATTATTATGCAACACTATCGTGAGTGCTACTAGGAGACCGACATGATAAAAATAAGCATCTTATCGTCTGCAGAGAATTGGGTGGTGAGACGTCTGGTCCACAGATATACAACAATCTCGAGCTGTCTACCGGTCATCCACGTATCGCAAGCAACTCAAATATCGTCGCTGCGCACATCGTGACCCAAGGACAAAATTATACATTCAGCAACACAGTCCCACCTTTACTCCAACCTTTTCGGGGAATCCATACAAATGATACGTTGCTGGGAGAGGCTCGGAGCTTTGCAACTCAAGGTTCCGCCGACTACGCCAAGTATGTCGCTTTCTACTTTATGGGGGGAACTACTCACACATCTCAACAGTCTAGCTCATACTACAGCAGCTTCATCTTCCACAGGCGACAATGCTCTGTCGGCCTCGCTGAGCACTATGCCAGACGAGATACCTGCTTGGCCTCGCCACCCAAATTCACAAATGCAACCTGCCCATCATTCGCGCTCAGGGTATGCACCCCTTATTTTTTTGAGGCCGTCCATGACCTCGAAATATGTATTTCTAGGGACTCGGTTACGCTAAGACATCAATGCTTACCTGTCAGAAGAGAACACTCGGATTACCGCAATTTGATCCCTCTAGCGGCTACTAGGTCCTTTCAACCTTCTGATGTGTCTGTCCCGCGCGATAACCCCAGCTTATCCTACTTCTGTGGAAACAATCAACACCCTCACTTGTCTTATGCATACAAACCCGGGCCTATGGTAGACCTGCTCGAGACCATTGACTACAGGCGGGCTCAAGTCCCTCAAGTGTATACCGATGCGTGGCCCGTGTTTAATATTGACTCCAGCGCGCCCGGTATTGCCACTCATGCACAGGAAAATAGACTCGCTAGCCCTCAGTTCGATATACGCTGTCAGGACATGTTAGGATTCTCAGAAGTACATCTCAACCCCGAGCTGTTCGGATCTACTGCAAGGTTCCCCTCCCAAATGCAGAGTGTCGGCACCGCAGCGCCTGTTCCATATGCACAGCGCTGTGATGGGAGTCAGCCTGTAACAGGAGACCGTATCCCCGAGCATGGCCTCGTCAGTCCTTCTGCCTATATTTTTCCGGACGCGCGCAGTACTGCTAATTTGTCATGCGGTATGTATATGCATGACATTTTTTGCGGGCCGGATGGTAGCATGTTTCCCTCTCCATCGACCAGCGCATCCATGATACATTGTGACGACAATATTGAGGCGGCTTATCAGCCCAAGACGAGTCCCGGGGTTGCTTATGACTTGTTCCAGAAACCACCGTCAGCTATACCCAATAATACTTATGTGTCTGCAGATGTGGACTGCAGGTTAGCGCATTTTACATTGGCCAAATGTTTCTGCCGCTCACTTGTAACGTTTTAGCTTGACACTTGCACGGCAAGTGTCAGACCATCGTGGAAACAACGTAGCTCCTCTCCAATCCTCAGCTGTACAACGCCACGCGAGTGGGAGGGAAGCAGCCGTCATTTCTCCAGTGTCCAGCGCAACACAATCCACACTCAAGGAGAGCTTCGCTACCATCACAGTCTGCCTCTGGAAAAATTGTGGCCACCAAATTCATACTGATGCTGGATCTATTAGAAGTCATGTCAAACACCACCACGCTGACGATCTCGATATGACTCGACACGGTGAGCGGCGTCCATGTAGATGGGGGGCCTGCAGAGAGATGGTAACATGGAACGGGGTGGCGAAGCATATCCGATCTGGAAAGCATTTGGGCGTCGACGTGATACAGTGCGAGAGATGCGGCGCTGCGCTGGCTCGACCTTCTGGATTGATACGTCATGTAAAAAATGAATCCTGCAGTGCCAGGCGCTGACTGAACGCCTTACGGAGATTGTACAGAGTGCGCCAATGGTTCACGTTGTGTCACTATCGGTCACGCAACAGGCAGGTTTTTCAAGCTTGACTCGTGATGCACGTACAGCTCCTCAATTCGGAATGCTCGTGCATGCATCGGACGGCCCAACACAGATCAGCATGCTTTTGTTATTACGTGTTGCATATTTGTTCGACGAAGTATATGATATTAGGCGGTGGCGTCGTTGCCAATTATCGCCACAGGCATGAGGAAAATGAGGAGCGAGACGCTCCGAGGGGTGTCTTTGTGCGGGTGAGTTGTACCACGCGGTGCGCGTCTCCGGAAACGCCTGTAAAATTTGGCAACGCTCAGGCACATCGCCCCCTCAGGCGAGTACAAGCAGCTTCTTGATGCTCTCCGTATATTCTCTTCAGAGGGCCACATGCTCTGTCGTAACTTGAAAATTCTCATAGCGGATCAATGCTGTTTGAAGATATCACCAGCGCCTCTTTGTGACCTTCGTGAGTGTCAGACGAGAAGCATTTCGTATGTACTCGACTATATTCATTTCCTCGTGACTATATCGACAGATTTTTGGGCGCTCTAGTCGCAATTTTATACAGTCTATAATTTCCAGGTTTGACGGACATAACGACTGAACTACAGCCGATTGTATCTGATCGAGAGCCACCGGCGCGGTTCGCGGCATTACACCTAACCCGATTCAGAACACCTTGCCGAACCAATGAACGAGCGTACCACCTGAGGTACCTGAGCTCGCTAAAGGTACGAGCTTGCAGATTCTCCTCCTTCAACGGAACGCCCGTGAAAGCGTGCAACAGGTCGATGGGCGCCGTTCGTGCGCGTAGACCATGCCGCGTAGTATTGACAAAAGCCTCCAACGTCAGCGCGTCAGCGTTTATATCATGCATACAACCATACAACAAATTTTCTGTGCTTCTCAACCAATCCAACTGATACATGACAATTTCTTACTTTTACATCAGGCAATAC